TCTCAGGCTTATTGGAGGGTCTCTGGTATAGGCCAATGTCAGATGCTGTTTGTTACTGGCCTTGAGTACCCTGTTTGGAGCTATCAACAACCTACGACTTGTGGTTCCCTCTCTTGGAGCTGGGTGCATTTGAACAGGACCAAGATGCACACCGAAGTCTGCTTTTCCAAGGCCCAGGTACAGAAGCAGATCAAACAAAGACTCAACGCTCCCAAAGGTCTGCCTCTGCCTGCAGGTTGATTGATTTTAGTCTCTTAATGAGCATCAGGCTGTAGACCACAGCAAGGTGTAAACTCCACCGGGTTGGGTGAGAGGGTTTCCAATGGATGGGGAAATTGCTTCCCCCACAGACAAAAGCTGGCTGGCTGGCAAAGATCTGCCTGAGAACGATGTCCTCTGCAGTATGGGGGAATGACTCAGCATAGGAATCCAGAGAGCTGCCCTCTGAGCTCTGTCTCCAGAGCCTGAAACCTCAGATTCTTCTCATACTGCTCTAGTTCACTCTGCCCTCCCTCTGCTAGATCCCAAGGTGAGTGGCTGCATACGAAACTTTGCGCATTAGCCCTTTAAGAGGGTGCCTGCATTCCCAGCTGTCTCTCCCTGGCAAACAGAAACCCTGCTGCTTTTTTCAGCCAGATGTTTTATGGGCACCTTTCTCAGTTTTGGTGCTCTGGGCTGGGAAGCCCAGCTTGGGGTTTAGGCCTCAGAGTCCTCAGTGGGAACTCCCACAGCTGAGATAGCCCTCCAGACCTTCAGCTGCTGCCTGTGGGAGCCTAGTGAGTCCTCTTGCACCTCCACACTTCCTACCAGTCTCTATTCAGTCTCTGCTTTAGGTCCTTGGTTTTGAGGCTGCTCTCTAGCTCGTCTTTAGTTGCAATTGATTTTTCAGAATTATTTTTCTCTGTTTTAGTTGTAATTCCGGCTTGGTCATGGGAGAGTGTCATTGTAGCTTCCACTCAATCTGCCACCATCTTAGAATCCTATAATCAGCCTTTTTCATTTTAGTCATTCTAATAGGTGTACAGTGGTATCTCATTGTGGTTTTAATTTGCATTTCATTGATAACTAATGATCTTGAGCATTCTTTCCATGTGTTTATTTGCCATCTGTACATCTTCTTTGGTAAAGTGTCTGTTCAAATCTTGTCTTTCTTTCTTAATTGGGTCACTTGTCTCTTTTATTATTGAGCTGCAGAAATTCTATATAGCCTGCATACAAGCCCTTTATCAGATATAAAATTGCGATTATTTTCTCCTAGTCAATGCCTTGTATTTACATTTTGTAAACAGTGCCCTTTGAAGAGGAGAAGTTTTAGATTTTGATGAAGTCCAATTCATAAATTTATCCATGAAAGGATATCAGGCAGGGTTGGAGTTAATTTTTGTATATGATGTGAAAAATAGATAAAAATTATCTTTTTTTATAGGGATATAAAATTCTCCAGTATCATTTGTTGAAAATACAATCCTTCCTTTACTGGTCCAATCATTAGCACAGTGCTAGGGATGTCTTTGAAACCTTGAACCAATATTTTATATTCTTGATTTTTCACCCCAGGTCCTGCTTATATCACAGTTATTAAAGTAATATATAAAAGCAATCCAGAGTAGGGTCCTGGATATCTTCATTCCTTTAATATAAATGTTATTGGTATAGGTAGGGATAATGAGTCTTTTTCTGCCAATTAAATTTATCAGAAAAACTCCCAATACTAAATATTTGTCTTGGAAATAGAATAACAACGGGAAAGTTGTACAACTATAATACGCCAAGTAGGAAAGAAACCGTGGTCAGATATAATTACAGTGCGAGAAAGACAGCCAAATAGCGATTGAATAGTGGGAACTGCCTGTCCACAGAAGTTCATATCATCAGTAAGAAGTATGGTTTCCTTCTTGGCTCCTCATGTGTTTCCCCCTGGAATTTTCATTGCTGCTTTCAGCCTCTTACCCTTTCTAGCCACTGCCTTTTTGGAGACTCTGTCCCAGGCTCTGATAGCTTGTCAGTGACTTAGAGTCTGAGCAGTTCTCTGCTTGTTGTACTGCCGTAGGAAAGGAAGTGTTTTTTTATAAAGTTGGCAGTTGAAAGTCTTTCCTTGTAAAAATGTTAGTATTTTATTTGTCAATGTATCTTATATTGTTTCTAAGTCACTACCTTACTTCTCTTGATAAATTAGACTGTCACTTTTTAAATATGCTTCAACCTTCTTTCACTTGAGATTCTAGAACTAATGTTTCCTTTCACCCTCCTGCTTCCTAAAAAATACTAGGTTTCCTAAAACTTACTATTAAAACTATTTTTGGACACCCCAGTTCCACTCTAAGACCCAGGACCTTTGCCAGGTCCATCTTTTGGTCAGGCCCTGGCTGAGTCCAAATCATACTATTAACCAATATGTGTGATCAATTTTGTGATGGAAGAATGAGCATTGGGCAACCAGGCTAATCAAAGTTTGAGCAGATCATTATGCAATAAAGTACCAGAACTGAAATCTATAACATAATGAAGAACATGTGCTTGTTCCCCAACCAAATCCTGGCAGTTCTGAGCAACTTTTGAAACTCAAAGAGAGTAGTTTGGGGACTGACAAAAGGAAATTATTTTAAGCTGCCAGTAGTGTAGAGCTAGTTGCCCCGAATAGGTTTTAGATTGAAATATGTTCTAGAGTGGTTTAGAGAAATTCCTGAGTCCTAAATAAGGAAACCATGGGCTACCTGAGACACAAACTCAGTCTCCCATAGGGGTACAACCAGACACAATGCTCTCCTGACACGGGTCCTTGGAGCCTTGGCCAGAGGCAGAAATTTTGGCCAGACCATTGTGCTGAGGGTCATGGGATGGGGTGAAACAGCCACAGTCTTAGGGACCCTGAACCAATTCCAGGCCACCTTCCAGAGCTAACCCTCCCCTGTCAACGTCAGGTTATGACCTGCAGGCCTAGGGGTTAACCCGGGCCACTCCCTGTTTCCCTAGTAATCGCAGTATCCAGGGGCTTTGTGAGTCACCCAGAGGCTCCGTCATAAGCCCCTGTGGGTGGGACAGCCTCGCAGTTTCTCGCCCCTTCCCACCCAGACTGGGCGGCCCTACTGCGACTAGAGCTCGCGTTTCCCGCAGGTAGGAGCCGCCAGGAGAACCACCGCCCCGGGCATGCGCAGTGCTCTGCGGGGCTGCGAGCGCCGGCCCTCAGCTCCCTGGTCCTATT